AAAAAAACATATTAAAAATTATCAATATTAAGATATACCTGTGCAAAACCTCTTCGATACATCCACGAACGTACCATAATGTAAGCTCTCGAAAAATTCGAATTTTCGCGGAAAAATTCCTCAAATTTTGCTTCCATTTCCTTGCGTACCAAATCAGCTGCTATTTTCGAGTTATAAATTGGCGTCGGAATATTGCTGTCTGACATAATTACTTTTTATAGAAAAGAAACACACAAACTGATGAATAAAGAAAAAACAGAAATCTAACATTATTCAGTACAACAACTAAAAGCACTTACCAAGTGAATCGAATTGCGTTGAACAAAAAGATGGCAAAAGATTGTTGTTTTCGGGTCGAAATTTTGAAATTTTCGCGAAAGAACGTTGAGGTACAAAATCCAACCGCAAATAACCTTCACTTTCGAGTGCTGCAATGAAATTATGTAACTGGAAATCAACAGTGGTACCCAGGCCACGCGTTGGGCCGATCCGCTAACTCAAATGTATGGTGAGCTGTGGACGTGAAGAGCTCAAGACCGAAGTCAATGGCGCAGTTGTCGGATTTTGAATTTGAATTATTGAATTACTCCGAATTTAAATCAGTGTTAAGCTAACAGCCATTCCAGTTATTAAAATAAGTAACTGGAACAAAAACTCGAACGAAAACTTAAACTTTCAGAAGAGCCCATCACTATAATATTAATTTTTGAGCTTTTTTTGTAGATGGAAATCTCAGTTCAGTAGGAAAATGAAACCTATTTTGAAAGAAATAAAAAAAAGAAAAGAGCTCTTCGAAAAAATGCTCGGAATTTCAATAAGTTTAAATTATCAATTCTTCGGATAAACTGAAAACTCTGAAATTTGCTAAAACTTTAGGACTTTGAAAGCTTCTATTTACGCGAGAAAAAAATACCATCAGAATTGAAGACAATTAATACAGGCTTCAAAGGATCCTGTTGTTTAGTTCCAAATTTAACCGATAAGCCAGCTTTTATCAGAATCTGCGCTGTTTGTGCAAGATAATGGGCACGCTTGATGAAATATGTAAAATTCTGATAATCATGAGATCCAAAATAATTCTGTAAAAAATATGTGTGGTTTTTTTTTTTTAAAAAAAGATGAATGAGTTGGCTAACAACCATAACACAAGTTCCCCCGTCCCCCTCCCCTACCTTCTCCACTCCTCCCTTCCTCGCCTCTCCCCCTCAATTTTCGCCTTTGCATTTTGCACATTCAGCTCAAAGATATTAAAAAGAAAAGCAAAGGCATTCATTTTCTTTTTTTTAGTTTAGAACTACCGATGTTTAGGACTACCAATAATCTTCCTTCCTAACACAAAGAACGACAGAATCACCAGCAGACTGACTAAAGGCAATGTAACATTGGTCAAAGCAACTGAAGCCAGTTGTAAGGTTGGAGAATCACAACACAAATCACAGCTGATTCAAACATTCCAAAGAAGGAAACTAAGAAATAAGAAAAAAAGTAAGTCTTAAAAGAAAAACACGAAAAAAAAGGAATAAGAAACCCGAGGCATAATAATGATGAGATCCATAACAGGTTCGTCTTTGGTTTGATATCCGGAACGCCAGCTACCAGCAATCTCAATTTTTGCCGGATGAATCCACCGACAATCACACGACGACTCGATCTTGCTCAGGTCTAATCCAAATGGTAACAAAACGGGAAATTGGATATTGGCTGATTGGAGGTTTTTCAAATCGCAAACCTAAAATATCCGAAAACTTCAAACTATGTTACTGAAAAGAAACTTAATACGTATTACAATAATTAGCCAGCGCATCGACTGCCGGTGCGAAGATGCGTTTTTTACATAGTTCGCAGTTTTTTGTCGCTAATGGCACTGTTTTTTCCGGCAGATGTCTCTAGCTAAAAGAATTGAGACTGGCTACCACGACTGTGAGGAAGCATTCCCTTAAAATTTCAAACATTCCAGCTTCACTGGTTCCCGAGTTCGCAACTTGCCCACCAAAAATTTTCACGAGCCCGTACGTGGGAACCACGTGGGCAAGAGGGTCCATTTTGGGGATGGTGACTTGTATATGAATGTAGATAAAACTCCCAAAGTTTCAACCTTGTAACTTTTGTAGGTCTCGCGATGAAAAATCGGTACAGATGAATACAGATGAACCCCTCGACAATATGTGTTTTTGCATCGCACAGATGCAAAAAAACGCAAAAAAATGAGAAATTCCAATCAACTGCGGTAGAACTACAACTGGGGAGTCAAAAGAGAAAAGGGAGAGCAGTGAGTTTCGGGTGAACAAAATGATGCCACCGCGGAAAAGCCTGAACTTCTTGGTTTATAAATATAAGTGTAAGTCGCTATCGAAGGATGAATTCACGAACCATAATTGCTTTGTGGAATATATAAAATCCCATGAAACATTCTTGATTTAGAAAACAAAAAAATTGTATTTTTTTTTAAATCTCACCTGATGTGCTTTTTTCATTTCTTTAGCAACATAAATTAGAGATTTTACGGTACTCGCGAGTTCTTCAAGCTTATTTCGTTGCGCATCTGGGAGTTTTATCTCATCAATAAAATCATCAATTTGCATACATATCAATCGTCGCCGTGCACGTTTCTTTTCAAATTCTTCGGAATCCCCATCACCAGCTGCACGTTTCATCGTCAAAAACACAAATACACTCCAAAACCAATCTAAAAATGCTTTCTTTTTTTGAAAAATTTTACCTAAACATGCAGTACTCATCCACCCAATACGATGCCAATTCGCTTCGTCATACAGCGCGGAAAAATCCCGTTTCTTAAGAAAGCATAAAACTTAGTTGTACAGAATGGTGAGTATCCTAATGCTCGAAGTTGCCCGAAATGTGGGAACTGCCTGAATTTTGCTTTTTTGACTGAACGAGTTGAAGCCCGGGGGAGTAGATAAATGGAGGAGGAACAGTATGGGAAATGCTGGGGATCTATCTCCAAAAAATTTGAATGAGAATTTCTCAGGAATTTCCGTTTTTTCATAAAATCCACCGACAAAATCTAATAAACGAATAAGATAAAATGGATAATTATGTACAGCAGTTGTAATTCAGGTAATTTCTTGACCAATCTATCAAAGTGTCTGATTGAAGTACTTAAAGTATGTATCTGATCAAAGTACCGAAGTAGATGATCAAAGTTCAAAGTAAATGTGTGTGAGGACAGAAGAAAGTTGCTAATGAAACATTGGTAAAAGCACTTTTATTGGCCCTTTTCATTTCATGCATAACTTCCAACAACATAGCAAATTTGTAAAGAGAAAACCAAAAACTGCAAAAGAAAAAAGCTGGATAAAGTTCCAATAAATCCATGTGATAAGGGCATTCATACAGAGGAACATAAAATCTATTGAACAATGTAATTCGGGAATTAAAATCCAGGGTATGAAAGCCAACAATGATAATGATAATGATAATGACCGTGAAAATATGCATGTTTGTGCGAAAAATTACGAACAAAATATGAAATTTTCAGAAAAATGACCCTAAAATCAAGCAAAACTCAAAAAAAAATTATTTCATTGTACCACTGAAAATACTGAAATTCGGGAAAAAATATTTGAATGGCAGGTCAGAAAAATAGGAATCTATTTGAAATATAAGGAAGCCCGTTGTATTCCCAGTACTTCATCACTTCAAAGGCATTTCGACACGGGTACAACCTTACCAAAGACATATTTTGGAAGAATTAGCGAGTT